AGGTCCCTTCCAATCTCTTAACGTTCTGTGATTCTGTGATGTTCAGATTGGGTAAGACATAGAAATAATAAATGACAACATAAATAAAATGTTAGCACACTAAGTTTTTTGCCTCCCATCCCCAGCCCCCCTTCCAATCGTTATTCTTGTTGGGTCTTCCTCCAAACATGCTATCATTACTGCTCTAAAAAAAAAAAGAATAATAAAAAGAAATCTTTCTTTCACCCTGAATGCTTCGTATGAATACCTGGAGGTATTCTGAAACTGTTCTTTCCTTAACAAATAGTCCTGTCCCATCTGGATGAGTTCTCCTGTGCAAGATTATGGGCCACTTATGTTCCCTTGAAAGATGAGACAAGGAGTGATATGTCAGTATTTATACTTTCGGAGGAGATCACCTATCCAACCTCCTTGTCACTGCAGATTCAGCTAGATCATCAGGTTACTCAGACCCTTGTCTAATCAAGTTCTAACTATCTCCAGCCTCTCTGGAGAACCTATACCACTATTTGACTCACATTCATGTTGTGTTGTCTACTGCCCTGACAGTCTTGGTGGGTGGCCTCCACTGAACTCATTTCAGTCTGTCTTCTCATGGGGAGCCTGAAAGTGGACGCAGCACCCCAGCTGTCCAGTGTGTCCCTCTTTCCAATGTCTAGTAAAAATCTTCATTAGCATGTATTTGTTACAGGTATTCTCAGAGACAAACATTTAAGGTTTGTCCATTGATAATAAAATTTTGGTAAAGTTCCCTGGAGACTGGTTTGTTCACTTGAAGAGTTATGGTTTGTTCACTTGAAGAGTTAGTTTCTTCAAGCCTTCCTTTTTTTTCTTCAACATATAATTCTCTGTTTTCGGAATAAACTGGACGTTTTCCATTTATAATGTTCCCACTCTGTTTATGAAATCTAATGCACTGATTTTCCAAAAAGAGGTCTTTGTGAAAATCTTCCACCTCAGCAGTCATATTCTGCTATGATTTTAGGTAATACTTATTTTCAGCCTCTTATTTGTTCATTAGACTCTTTACCCTTTTGCTAGTTTTGACATTTTGTGCTGAAAATTATTTCACACCTAGATACTTTGATAATTATCATCACATTACCATATTAAAATAAAGTAATTCTTTTGCTAATACATTAAGTATTTGTTGTAGGCTATTGCAGCTTGCTTTAGCATGTAAAACATTCTGTGAAGAAGGGGAATAACCAAGTATTTTTCATAAAATGTATGTATTATGGGAAAAAAGTAGTTATTTAATCCTTAGCACAGTTATCTTTTTTGAAGTCATAGATTCTCCATTTTTAGTTATTTCTGCTAATGTCAAGTTCTGAAGTGCTCCAAGAGCCCAAGTAGATTCTAGAAACTATGTATTTGTCAATTAGAACAACACCTTACTGTTGGAAGCACATGTATTCAATAATAGGGTTGGTAACTTTGTTGTTTTCTATCCTAATATGAGGCTGTTTGCTTTTCCACTAATAAGACATTCCTCTGAAGTTAATGAATTAAGCAGTGTGCAAAAATTTCCATTAAAGAGTACTTATTTTGAGGAATAGATATAACCTACCTTTGAGTCACTTGACAGTATTTTAAGTATTTTAAGTACTCTTTTCCACCTTCAGTAGTTTATCTATCACTTCATCTTTTCTATAATTTCTCAAGGTATATCTGTGCTTTAAGAAAGAATTCCCAAATTTGGAAGAATTTAAACAAGACCTTTGTTTTAAGGTCCATCTTCAGATTCTTGATACTTATGTACTGTTACTGAAGGAAATCTTCAAGTATATTGTTGTTCTCATATAAAAATAGAAATGTAAGCTCCAAGCTTTAGGGACAAAACTCTCTAGTAGGATTTTTACGATCCAGTGCATAGGGACCCCATCTTACAAACTTCCTGGCGCAAGTCCTGTCCCTTGACATACCTGGTTTTATTTTTTTCTAGATAAGTATGTTTTTATAAGTAGGGTGAAGTTAGATGTCTCTTATGCATCTAGCTAAAGCAGTCTAAGTAGTTATTGGTGCAATTACTGAGAAATTTCAACATATTCTATGTTCCTAGTCCATCTCACTAAAAAGTAAAACTAATGCACTTAAGCCACATCTGAAAATTAATTCAACTAATTGCTTTTATTTGCCATGAAGTGAATTATTAATACTTTTTGTCATCAGTTTCAATGCTTTTGCTGAAGGGAAATAATTAGGATTTGGAGGAGCGCCAAATAGATTTGCAACTGCCTATATTTTTATACATAAATGATACTGTCTTTCAGATTGCTTTTCTATTTTCATTGTTTAATAAAGTGATAATGAAAGTCTCAGAAAGAAGTAGGATTTCTGTCAGAAACAAAGCAAAAGTCGTACTGGATGCCCAAGTCTGTAGGCAGGTATCCAGATATTTTAGCCGAAACACTATAGAAAGATCTAGAGTTGCCTGCAATTGAGAAAATTCTAGATCCTTTCCTTTTTAAAGTGAGTTTAAATTTCCAAACTTCTCCCTGATAATTTTTTTTCAATTTGAATATGTGTGTTATGTGAAAATTTGTACTCTGAAATGTAGTTTTGGCCTGAAATGCAGTTTTCTAAAAATGGCTCTTCTAAGAGTTGTGGGTTGGGTTTTTCTTTTTCAATCCATGTTAATTTTAGTACTTTTACTACAAGAGAAAATGTTGTTCAAGGTGCCAACCTGAGCTTTTAACCTACCTATGGGAGATTTCTTGTGAATTATTTCTTATAGATCATCACCCAGAATACCTGGCCACATTAAGTAAGTAATGTCTCCCTAAATCTAAATAGTCAAGTGGATTTTGTCTCTCATTTTTCTTGGCTCTTCTGTTGTTATGGATATTCTGAAAGACCTCAGGTTGCTTTTGGTTGGAGGGTTTTTTAGTATCATACAGAAAGCAAAACTGTAGTACTCAGTAACAGGTAAGTCAGGGGAAAAAATGTATTATGCCCTGTGAACTATTTAGGGGGTAGCCAGGATTGAAAGTTTATTGGCTCTGAGTTTGCCACTCTGAAAACTATCTTTCCTCCGCTGGGCTTTGTCAAATGGACTTAAAAATTGCTGTCCAAAGAATAAACCTTGAATGGCGTGATGTTACTGAAAAACAAAGTGTCAAACTGGTTCCTAAATGGCATGTGACGGCAAAGCTGACAGCAACTCAGTCAAACATAAAAACAGTCTGCATGGTATTAAGTCCTCCGTCTTTTTATTTCTAGAGCATGAACTCTAAATACGAGATACGTGCTTTTCTTCTTGAGAATTGAGTAGAGTGCTATCTGTGGAAAAATAAATCACTCCTTTGCCTTGTGACTCATCTTTCCAAAAATCAATTACTGAGAAGGTCTAATTCTGAAGTGATGTGTGTGTTTTACAGAACAAGTCCTTCTAGATCAAAATGTTCAGACTCCTCCCCCAAGTCCTTTTTCAATACAAGCTTTCAGTAAGGGGACAAGCTGTAGTAATGGACAAGGTTTTGATTATGGCCTTGGAAATAACAGAGGTATGTTTTTACACTCACATTTTTAAAAATGGTGGTTTTCTTAACTTTGCTTATATTTTTGTTACTCATTTCTTACTCTTTTAGGCACCATCAGATGTCCTCCAAAAGACATAAGCATTAGCGCAATGAATTGCAAGGTGTTCTACAAAACATTTAGTTAATGTTATAATTGCTTTTTTCTCTGCTTTAATTTCACTCAAAGTACTCTGTATATGAAGGATCATCAGAGATGTTTAAATTACACTTGAGGCTTTCTGTAGTGGTAGGCACAAAACGATAATGCAGAAATGAGCATATACTTGTACAAGATATGAAAATGATTGGATTTAGAGTGTGTTTTAAAATGATTGGAAACATTTGTAAACAATTCTCACTTGTCTTGACATTTTTTAAGTGCTGTTAGTGAGATGACAAGGTAAAAGATACCATTTGAAATTTAAGTTGTAAAACTGAAGTTAACTTTCAATCACGTAGATACCAGTTACAAATGCTGTGAAAAAAATAAAACCTTTTTAATTTTACTGACATAAAATAATAGTTTCTTTCAACCATGGTGTATTTTGCTGGCAAGACGTACATATATATATATAAGCCATTGCAATAAACTCAAACTGCATGCCTTCTGTTCATTCATTGATTAGACCTAGAAGATTTAAAAATATGGAAGGGACTTTTGCTGCGGTAGATGTCCTTGCGAAATATTATTTGAAACACACAGCTTTGTTATTCTACTCTTACATTGTTGTCCATGCCACTAGGAACATGGGCCTAAGGTGTGCTATTGTTTTTAACACCAGCATATCTTCTTCATGGTCTCCTAGGTAAAATAACTTGATTTAAGTCTTGTTTTAAAAGAGATGAGGGAAAAATTATTCCTAAATGTTCTAGTCTGTTATTTCATAACATGAAATAGTTTGATATCATTTCACAGTGGTTACTGCATAAAGAAGCAGTTCATACTTGTCCATGCATTGCTATAGGAAACCCTTTATTATTTTTTTTTAAACAAAAGCTGGAAAGGTTGTTTTCCTTTTGTTTTAGAGGCCTTTTTATACAGAACTGCTTTTCCTCGTTCAGCCATACTCATTTCAAAGTAATGGTTGAATCACACAAGTGGAAATGTTTAAGATGTTCACCATGTGAAGCAGTATTACAGCGTGTCTCTCAATGTCAGCTGTGTAATAGTGGAAAAGTGTTATCTATTATTTTTCTGCAGAAGCATGTTAGGAAAATAATTTTTTTTCTGTGTTGTCCAAAGATAAAATCTTGGAGATCGATGTGCTATATTAACAGGAATCCTAGTTTCTGAAGACATTGTAATTCTTTTTACTATATCCTGTCTTAAATGGTTTCTAAGGTGTTTCTTTGGGATATTACAGTTACAGAAAGTTTGGAAGCTACTTCTGGCATTGAATTCCATACCATTTTATAGGCATTATTCTCTCAGCATACCCTCAAGCTGTGATGTTTAGTGTGAGCACCTCAGCTATATGATTTCATTCATTCCATGTGCTGTAATTCCTTCTGAATTGCCCAAGAGTGGAGAGTTGTTGGCAGCTATATTGAAAGAATAACAATATTACTTTTCCAAAAATAGAATTCTTCAGCTGTATCATTACTTTATATAAAGTCTTTTTTGCATTCTCAGGTCTAAGAAGCTTTGAGTTTTGTGGAAAATAACAAACTGAAGTCACAAGCACAATCTATTAGGGAAATTTCTGAATGAAGCAGTTCTTTTGGAGGTGCTTGTTTGATAAAGAACTTCTGTAGGGATACACTAGTTGAAATGAAAATTCAGTCACCTTCTACAAGTGGTCCAAACTGCCGGTCACATGTAAAGATCCTCATGCAATAGGTCTGTGTTTACGTTCCTACCTGCAAGGTAGAAGACATAACTCCCACAGTCATTCTGTTTGATTTAGCTATGTCTTCTCTGTTCCAGTCTTCTACACTTCAGGCAAGTCTTTAATGTTTCTCATGAATGGCCCTACCCACCTCCATATATAATTATTGTGGGCAGATGAATTTCAGCCTTTTCTCAGATGTTCTTCCCTTTAAAATGGAAATAGGCCTGTTGTATTATAAGTGCCTTGTCAAACGTGTCAATCAGTTCTGGGTTATTAAGGTAGGAATGATTGCTGCCCAAGTACTGATTCCAATATTTTTTAGGTATACTGCTTCCAAAACAGTGGAATAAAATTGATTTATTGATACCTGTAGATGATTATTTAGAAAGGTGTTCCAGCTATTTTCTGGTATTTTTGTTCTGTCAATTTTGAAACCAAAATATCAAGAAAATAAGTTCAAAATTTAATGTTGGAGTTCTTGGGTAATATAGGGTTCCTTGCACCCACCAGTCTTTCTGTAATTCCATGAAAAGACAATTCATAAGCACCCAAAAATGTTGTAAATTCTATATCGGCTGCTGATTTTTTTTTGCTAGGATTTCTAGAATGCTGTCAAAATTAGATGAATTTGAAGAATAAAGTGACACTGTTAGGATTTGCTTGGTGATGATTCAAATCTGAGATGCTCTCAAACTCCTGTTGTCTCCCGGCTCATATTACTGAGTATACCTCAAGTTATAAGATGATGTAACTTACTCTGCCTTCTTAGTGTTGGCTTCATGTATTTCTAATGCTCACATAGAGTTTTTTGAGAATTGGCATTCAACTATTTTTAGCATGCTGGTTTTTCGAATGCCTTTGTTTACCTCACAACAAATGTATGTAGTTCTTCAGAAAACCAGTTCCAGTTGCTAAGTGGTACTTATTTTTTTAAAATTATCTTAAATCTGATCTTGAAAAACAGCATGACAGGATACTTTTAAAGATATTTGCAAAAATGAGCAAATATTTACCAAAGCTTTGGCACAGAAATACACTTGCCAAAGCCTAATTA